CATTAATGAAGTAAAAAAAAAACCTTTTGCTTTCTCACGCGCCCCATGGACGTCCCGATCCGCACTTTTGCAATTCTTTACTTCATTACTTTCGTCCGCCTCGCGCGCTGAGACAATCTTTGCTGTTTGTGGCGACCGCGACTTCATCCATTTACATGTCCGCCCTTGGTTAGCAATCTTGCGTTCTGCTGCGTGTGCAATCTGCCGTGCATACCCGTTTGCCTCGTGGGAATACGTCTACGTCAAACTTTGCCCCCCACGACACGCAGCGATACACGTCGAAAAGTTTCGCCCCTCGTCGAAGGACGTTCGGGTCCCGCAGGGCGCGACTCGCGAACAAACGCAAACGAACGCAATAACGCACGCAGCTCATCTCGATATCATTCAATTTGTTTTGCCGCATCGTGAACTGTCAGCAAAGTCGACTCATGCATATATATGTAATCGGCGAGCTCACCGCCCAAGGCCGCGCTGTATCCATATAGACACAGATGGAGCGAAACACGGAACCTGTAAACCTGAGAACCTCTTTTTCACCGCCACCGCCGCGGCCGCCCGTTTGCCCCCAGTCGTTCTTTCACATTTCAAAATAGCAGGTCTCCGACGTCGTAAATATTAATTAATATACTCGGCTACTAAATTATTTTACGATCCGCTGGGATGTCGGAATGCCGAGCGGCGGAACGGCGGGCAAGGGATGAAGGACGCAATGTACTCGCATGTTCATGTTACACCCGAGTCGAGAGCAACATTAGCGCGAAGCCAACATTTGGGCGGGCTGGGAGCAAACGCCGGTGGGTTTCTGTTTAACGGCGGAGGTCCTTTGCGTTGGAGGAGCGAGCGGACACGCCGAACGAGGTAAATGTACGATGGGACAAATTAAAAAGTTTGCTCGTTCGCTCGCGCCGCTCGCCATCGTTACGCCGGCGCGCCAAGGGAGCGGCGAGATTTTTTTTTGCTTGTTTACTTATTTACTTTGCGGGCGGCATCGACGCCTACAGGACCGCACTTGGCGCAATTTCCAGCACAAAGTCGTGCGGAAGCGCGCGGAAAAACCGTCAAGTGTTTACTTTTCACCAGCCAGCACTGCGTGTTGGTACTTTTCAACGCCAAACCGCAACTGCCCTTCGTTTAATGTTGTTTGGCCGCCGATTTGCTGCCCCCGCATGTTGTCCTTTTGCCCTCGAACGGCACTCGCCGTTTGCTGTTGCTTCGGATTTAACTTTTTAACATACAAATTTAAATGTCAATTTAAAGTTTTCGTTCAAAATAACATCAAATTCGTTGCAACTTTTTCCAGTCCCCGAATGTAACTTTCTGGTCGAAAATATACGAGTGCCAGAGCATAATCCTACGCTCGCAAAATATACTACAATTAATTAAGCAAATAAATGATGGCCGGGTGGATTTAAAAGTTGATGAAGTCGGTCGGCAACTGAATTAATGCGCGGAAATGGACAATGCCCGGCTGTGGGCAACTCGTCGCAAAATCAAAAGCGGCTCCTTCATGCACTTACACGTGACGCCCCGCGGATGGGCAAGAAAAGTAAAAGCCGAAACGACAACAAAACATGTCAAAACAGCGGCGGATGCGAAAAAGCAAGCCGAAGGGTTTTGTGCGGACGCGGTGAGCGTGTAATACAACTGACGGCACCTCGTCCTGTTGTCCTGCAGATACAAACGGAATAAATGCGAACAACTTTCTGCGTCTGCCGTCGTCGTCGGGGCACACTTTTAATGCCTAATTAAGTAACGCTTAATATTTCATTACTAGTTGACTTTTTCCCGCTTTGTGTTTTTAGCATTTTTATACTCGGCCACGCACAGGAAGTTGCTTTTAATTATGCACGCACCACCACGGAATGCATACAAAGTTGGGAGTGACTCACGGCGTGCATACAAATGAACGCCAAAGGATTGAATAACAACCACACGCCGAAACAGCACGAGAGACGAATAAAAACTCCTCGGCAAGCGGAAACAATCGGAAGAAATCAGAAACAATAAAAACGAAACTATTAAAGTTAAATCTAAACCTGAAACAAAGTTTGCAGTTCATTCACTTTCCTCGCGCTGTCTCTGCGCGCCGTGTTTTTGTCGCATGTTTGCGTCTTTTTATTGTTGCCGACTTGGTTTCTTTCGCCGATCCGCGCACGGGCTTTGTTCGCCTCGTCTTTGTTGCTGTTTTGTTTTTGTTTTGCAATGGGTTATATCAATTCCGGGAAAGTTCGGCCAATCTCTCTATAGTCTTTCGCTTTATTCCGGTTCGGTTTGTTCTTCTTGTCGTCGCTCCTGTGGGACATTAAACACGCTACGCTCTCGATTATTCATTTTCTTTTGTTTCGACCCTGCCAGCCGCAGCAGCAAAGGGATGAAACAGTTTGATAAGTGGTGTGCACACACTGCGTATGTGCAGTATGCATTTGCAAGGTTTCATTTCAAAGAAATCTTGTTTTTTTTAATTGCTGCATTTGTCTCTTGACTTTTCTGAAAGTATAGGTCAATGTATTACTTTCGGTAAAAAAATATTTTAAAACAGACAAATATTTTGATTTTTAGACACAAAATGTTGTACTATATGCCTTGGCCTACGGCCGTGATTAAAGTATTTTTGTCACGGGCTTTAGGCACGGGGTGGAACTTGAGATACACCAAAATTCTCAAGTATTGTACGTGGGTCCCTTTTTATAACTTTTTTTTAATAATTGGGGTAATACAACATTAACTCCTTGAAGTAGTACTTGAATGTTGTTTGAAGTTAACCCTCTTTTGGTAATTAAAGCGGCGTGCATTGGGCTGATATCAACATAACTTTTCAATGCACAAAATTTCCGGCTGCATTTTTTTCGGTAATTGAAAAGCAAGTGTTGGTACGCCGCGCACAAATAGTCAACTTTGTTGATATGAAGTTGTGTACTGTGTCAACTTTCTCATTTACTACCCGCCGCTTCTCGCACCGCTTCAAAACCTAATTAGCCCGCCAAATATTTATTTAATTATCTATAAGGTATTCCATATAAATTAGTTCATTAGCGTGTATCTTGCGCTGCCAACACAGTGGAAGCTTTTTTTTCTGCTGTAGCAGCAATGTTTAATTTGATTTTTGATCCGGCGCAAGTGGTCTTTTTAAAGCTATCTTCTGGCGGTGAAGTTTCGTGACGTACGAAATCAATTAGCTTCGGAATCACGTCCGCGCGCGCGGGCGCTCCGCTTTAGTTTTCGATCTCAAGCGTTAGTTTCGCGTTTCGGCTATTAAGCTTCAATCAACTTGCCAGCGGTGCCGGCCCCGCGCGGCGTTGTTTCGAGACCCGCTACCCCTCGGCGGCAGTGGTGGTGCCGGCGCCGCGTTACTTACACTTAGCTGACGAGAGCATACCAGCAGCATTTCCTTGCCGGTGGCGGGTGATATCACCACGCGCAGCAAGATCGTGTTCGCCGCCCCCCTGCATCTTGCTTTCTGTTGTTGCCACACAAGCAAGTTGTTGTGGGCCACTCGCGCGCTGCGGGCCGTTTGCGGCGCTCCCGCTAACCGTGTTACTAACAATGCTAATGCACACAACTAGCTATTAGTAACTACTGCCACTGCCGCCACCGACAACGAAGACGAAGACGACTCCGCGTATCAGCGGCTGCGGCGGCCGACCGAACAACAAAATCGCGTTACCAGCGCCGCCGATGTTACCGGCGTTGTCGGCTGTGTTGGCTGGGCGGACGAACTTTAATTAAATAGAAAATCACTGAACAAGACGACAAGACGCGCGCACAAAACCCCTCCGACACGACGCCGCCGCCGAAGGAATTAGGCGGGCCGGGGCCGCAAAAGTAATACCCGGACGCCCGGCCCCGGCCCAACTCGCAAGACATTGACTAAGCGGCGGCGGGCATCGCTCACGCGATCTTCATGCTCGCCCTGACATTCCGGATAATTTGCATCTAATCGCTTCTGACTTAGTGGCCTTACTGTGTTCTTACTGTACTTCAGTGTCTTAACGTCGCCGAAAAATTGCCGAATTAAACTTGGCGCAAGTACAATTTCCGAATTTGGAAAGTTGGACGCATTACCGCCGATCAGAAGTCAACGATTCAGTCGTGGCCGCAAACTGCAACAACACAATTTTGCGTAATTACGAGAGAGTGACGACGTAAGTCGGCAAATCGCCGCGAGCTCTTTCTGATTACTTGACCAACTCGACTCGTCTAATTCGCTCCGCCAACTTCGCGCCACGCCGCCGCTGTAATCAAGTGCTAAAACGTTACGGCGCTCCCGAGATGCAAAATTGATTCGAAATTTGCGAGTGGAATTTAAACAATTATCGCGAAATTGCTGCAACCAAATTGCATAATATCGCCGAATGCCGACCAACATTAAACGTGCATAACGCCGCAAAGTTATTGCTCCATTTGTGGAAGCAACTCGATTAGTTAACGCGCGGTCAAGCGGCGGCTCGTCCACCAGATTTCGGCCTTCTTCTCAGGACGCGGCCAACCGGCTAATTGATTACGGGGGCGTGCCGCGATGCAAAGTTGTTTAATTTCCTCCTCCCGCATCCCTCTCGCGGCGTGTGCGCGCGAAATCCATTTCGGGCCACTTCGTTTCCAGCATCTTCCCATCTTTGATATGGCCGGGCGGGTTGGCGCTGAGCTGAAGTGTGGATGTGGATGCGGGAGCGGCATGAAATGATTAAATTACCCGCTCGCGGATTTACCGATTTCGAGCGTAGGTAGTAATAGCTCGTATTCGATCGGCTGCGCTGCGGCGGGCGCTCGCGTTGCTTTCATCAGAGAGTAGGTACACACACTCCCGGCTGAACGTCGACGGCGGCGCCAATTTTCGAGCGCTGCTGACGACCTCTTCGCCATGCATGCACACAGCGAAGTCGGGCGAGCGAGCGGGGAATATTTCGTCGATTTCGCATTAAACTTTCGGTTTGCTTAACAGCGATCGACCGAAAATTGCATGATTTACATCGCCGGCTTAAAGTGCACTTTGATTAGGCGCATTTTGCGCATCGTATTCATTCAATTTATATTATAATGAGTTCGTGAGTACATAAAACAAATTAATCACTCCATGCACTTAATCGTTGTCTTCTGTTCAGTTCTTCTTGGGTACAACGGCGAGAATCCTGCATGGAGCGCCGGTTCCTTCCAATATCTTCATTGGCATGGCATAAATTACGAATCTGTCGTTGTATGTAGCCAAGTCAGCTGGTATGTGGACGTTTTCGATACCGAAAATGTTTGCTTTCGATAAAATTCGATGTGCGTCGAAAGTCTTCGACTTGCCTGGATCTAGACTGGCAGTGTCCACGCCAACGCCGGCAATTTTTCGTTCAACGAGCAGCTTGGCCGCCTCCAGGCTCAGTCCCGGAAAGGACAAACTCAACTCGCTCTCGTTGTCGGTTTTCTGCACGTTGTAATATTCAGCAGTGCCGTAATGTCGGCCCCAATTAAATCGAATTAGCAATATCGAATCGGCCGGTAAGCGTCCGCCCTCCCCAAAAAGTTTCTTCTCAAACTGTTGAATGTGTCGAGGTTGAAGCATTGTGTCGGCCGTCGTTGCGCCGTCCCCGAGCACCTCAACGTCAAGGACGTAGCCCTTGTTGATTAGTTTCGAAACGGGTACGTCGGCGACTTTCCAACCGTCGCGGTTGAAATGATACGGAGCGTCGAAATGTGTCCCACCGTGTTCACCCATGCAAAAATCATTGGATGCATACCTTAAAGCGAAGCAATTTTTTAATTAAATACATATACAAGCAAAAATTCTAAAATTTACAAACCAGTTGGCTGATTCGTCGGATTGTGCGATAATTTTAATGAATTTAAAAGCCAAAGCATTTGGCCAGTGGGGTGTAGAGTTGTCATAATGAAAACTTAAGTCAAACACAGCTTCATTGAAGCTTTGATAGTCTCCCAAAGCTGCGCAAATTACACTCAACAAAACACTAACTTCGCGTAACATTTTCCAAACCGCAGATGATCCGCATGCAACTAACTTTGTTCGGTGTTGCTGGATGCAGGTTCCTACATTGCGGCCGCTACGATAATCGCTCATTATCGCGTGTGGAAAGGTCAAATAAAGTGTTGCGAGTGGTTCGAGGTTATAAATAACTCCATTTCAACACTGGCGTCGACGTGCAATGTGCGTACACAATTCTAAAAATTTTATTAGGTCCGCCCTCTGTTGGCATCCGCGTATGTATGTGTGTGTGGAATTTTTTGTTTTTATTCGCGGCCTTATTGCGAGAGCCCAAGCGCGCGCTGGAATGGGCTGAATTTTATGCGTTTTACATAGCTCATTCACGCCGCGGTCTATTATTCACCGTACACATAATTCGGTGCCAAAAATTTCGCACACACAAAAATGCCCCTGTAGCCGCCGGCACTAAACTAGACCAATAACAAGCCCTAAATTTGGGCGCGCTCGAAAGTCGCGTGCACTGTGTGCATGCGGCGTCGTCGGCGGTCTGCTGCGGCGGCGGTCGGCGGCGCGCTGGTGCGGCCGGAGAGTTTAAAATGTATGCGGACATTAAATATTTAATACAGATGCATGGCCCTTGCATGAATATATTGCCGGTTTGGTTCGTTGCTTCGCTCGCCCTTTTCTCCGCGTTTTGGCGTGGACTCGGCCAGAATCGGACTTTGAGAGGCACATCGAACAGATCTCCAGAGTCTTAAATACATGCCCCACAATATTACACAATTCTTGTAAGAAATGGCGTTTTTTCAAATAGATTTTCACTTTTATTTTGCGGCTGATTTTGGGCAAGTACGATTCTGTGCAGTCGTCGCTTGGTGGCTACCAGTGGTGTACGCGCTGTAGTTTGGATAACTGGAAATATTTCTTTCTTTGCCGCCGGTCGGCGGCGGCGGGCGCTCGTCGTTTCGCCTTTTTTTAACCGGTAACTCGTTCGGCTTCTCCGCGCCGCTTTTCCAGTTCCGAAAATCCGACCGGCTCGTTGCGTGCCCCGATTCGGGGCGGCATGCGGGCATTCAAAAGGGTGGCAAGTTTCCAAAATCGCGTAAAATTTCGTTCGGATTCACGACGCCGCGAACACGCGCACACATCCGCGGGGCATATTTCACACACCGACACACGCCGGGCCCGACACCCCGCTATATACGTTCATAAGATCTTCTCGAAAGCCCCGCGCGCCCGCACCATAAGAATACTATATTTATATTCGTATAAGATCCGAATGGCAAACTCGGATTCTTCGCACAAACGCCGGCGATGAACGCAAACGATGAAAGGAACGTTCGAAAAGTTTTCAACAATTTTTTTTTCTCCTGCGTCGCCTTTCCGCGGTTAGTTATAATAGTTCTTAGATGTGGCGATGAAGTAACAATATGAGCGGAAATAAGAAAAAGATAAAAATAGAAAAAAAAGCGATTCGGCTCGAGAAGAAAAGGACTCAAACTGTGGCGCAAACAAATTTTCAACTATTTATTCACAACTTGTTGTCAGCATCGTTTTATCTTCCTCTGTGTATTTTTGTCTTTGGCGATAGAAAATTTTCGGTTTTGTGCGCCGCTGATTTCTTTATAATTGCCCGTCTCATAGTCGGCGGCGATGTTTGCCGACGCACGCGTCATAATAGGCTGATGTCGAACAAACCGGCGAACAAACATGAGGAAACGCCGACAGCTTGAAGTTTGAGGAACGAGCGCCGGAAGAAGTTGATGTTTGAAGACTTTTCAAGAGTTTTCAAAAGACTTCGCCGAAGAGAAAAAATGAGCGCCAAGCGGAATGAAACGTTGCGAACGCTTGCCGCCGCGTGACAGACGCGAAAACATTGTTACACACAGCGACGGCGGCAAACGGCGCAAAAAAAAACCAAAGAAGAAGAAGAGGAAAAAAAGATTGTTACGAGATCTTTAGCGATGTTTGTCGTTTGAATTATAAACGCGTTGTTAGTTCCTTCTTATTTTCTTAGCGTGCTTAAGGTGCTGCCGCTAACAACGCATTGTTAAGCACGACAAATACGCGACAACCATTTATTATCGATGCCGGCGCGGCGCTTCGGCGTTATCGCGCGAGCTCGCCTCCCTCGGGACGCCCGCCGAGACAACACGCTGGCATGATCTCAGCGCAAATATTTTAAGTCGTTGCGAACGATTTTATTGCTGCACGTCGTGCGCGTGTGTCACGCGACTTAATCAGAAATATATCCCGATAATAAATCGATGGCGCTGATAAGACGACGGGCGCGATAAATGTCCTCGCATGCATCTCTTTCGGCCGCTGCCGGAAATTTTTGGCTTCGAGCCTATGTGCCATCGTAACTTATCTTTTGTTGTCGCGCGATGTTGTTCTTTTTACTTTTTGCCCCCGCCGGCCCCGGCGTTTTGTCGGCGGGCGACGTCGTCGTAAACTATCTTCGGCCGCCGCCGCCGCCTCCCGTCCCGACTGCTTCAGATAAACTACGCTAAACGAAACGTAAGATAAAGCCAGGGAAGATCTTTAGTTATCGTAATTGATAGCAGCGGTTGGTGGGATGCGATGCCCGAAAACCCAACCCAACCAGACCATACCCAGCGTCATGGCCGATGGCAAGTTATCGTCCTTTTATTCTTCTATTCTTCATTGCCGATCAAACACACTTTCGGCTAACAAAACTACCAATTCCGGCAGACGACTTGTATGTCGCCGCCAGAGTAAGATGCCGACGGGTTTTTTTTTCTCTCCGCTCTACTATGCGAGAGCGAATGTGTAGCTCTGAAGTAGGTCAAATCTAAAAAATTCAGGCAAAAAGTCCGGACTCGCTCAGTACGGTCGGGTTTAATTTTCATCCGTTATTAATGCAGGCACGAATTTTCCGCGAGCCATCATTCTGCATCGCGCGGGTCCCTCGTATCATCATAATAAAATAATTTTGCAATTTTTCAATTTTTATTGTGCTGCATTCGCAGCCGGCTGGCAAGACGATAGAGAATGATGGAATGATATTCCGGGAATATTGTTGGACATTGTAGCGAATTGGTTTTCCTTGGGACGGCGTGTAGATACGCCGACGAAAACGCTCATTGCACAAGGACAAATTTAGTATAAAAGGGGCGAAATTTAGAGATGAAAAAACGTTTCCTCTTTGTGTCCCTGTATTTCTGCTATTTGTGTTCGTTATATTCGTATTGCCGGCTGGATTTTTGGCAGGAAATAAGCGATAAACTATTTTCCGTTTTCTATTCATCAATAATTTCGTCGTTTTTTTTTTTCTTCTTCTCTTTATTCGTTGCCGTTTTTTCGATTTGCTTTTTTCATTTTCTGAGGTCGCCAACATTTTTATATCGTTTACGTTCTTTCCGCTTGAACAGAGAAGCAAGCTCCAACCACAAAACCACAAAACAATTATTGAATGAAACAGTTAAACAAAAATTGCAAGCTCTTGTTAAATTATACAATTAACGCAGCCAAATTAGGTTGTGAACGCGAAGTGAGAAAACAAGATTCTTTTGAGAATAAATTTCAACATAAATTTAAAACAACACGTGTCGCTTTAATAAAGACACCATCGTCGGTGAACGGCGGCGGGCTACAAAGCACGCAAATATTGTCGCTGGAATCGCTTTGGGCAATCGTCATCCGAGTGCGCCTTGCGCGTCAAGTGAATTCGAACACATCGCCCCATTGAATTTGCGCCTTCTTCGTTTTGCGCCGTAAAGACATAAGCAGTAACAACGTAATGCGAACCGCCGAATAAAAACCAACACCACCTTGTCGAAAACGAAGACGAGAAAAAAAAAACAACAAAGCCGCAAAACACGCAACACGCAACGCCCGCGGAGCGCAAAGAACAAAAAAAATCAAATAGAACACACCAGCCACGAGAGGATATGATTGATTGTTGTCTCTTTGCTTTTGCGCCGTTTTGAAGCTCAGGGTCGTTGTGCTTTGTCTATTTTTTTATTCACGTTAGTGCGCCCTGCGACCGACACAAAAAAAAATAAATAAGAACTGAGCGCACCTAAGAAGATACACCCAGCGCGCAGTGTTCTTTTGATCCGTGAATTACTTATGTATTTGCCTTTTGTGCCGCGCGCGCAGCCGTCCTTATTATCCGCGCTTGCCTGCGTCTTCGGCGATTATTTATTACAATAGCAGACAAAATCCTCATATCACGGTACACGCGAGCGCCCGATGCGAACGCAGTGCCGGCTGTGGTGGAGGCGCCGGGCAACGCAGCGGTGTGCGAGAAAACACATGCGAACTCGAAAAGAAAGCGAGTGTTGCTCCCAAATTAGTCGTTTATATTCATTATTTATGCGACGGCATTATTTATTTATGTAACGATAATGTATCGTATAGGTGGTGCTCATATTTATGTTGGAGCGCTGACATGTTTTTGCTTTTTGTTTGTCTTGCTTTTTGTTCGTCTGCAAGTCTCGTTTGTTTTTTTTTTCTTCGTTGTTTTCGTTTTGATTTTTGCGTCCGCTATAGGAATGTACCAGGCAGGCAGGTAGGTTGGTGACATCTCCAACTTTTACGAGTTTTGCCAATGCTGTGCATGCCGTCCTGCGATCATCCATCTGCATCGTTTCCATTATTCATTGACTAATGTTTAGAACATTTGTTGATTCGTGTATTTTGTGTATGTATTAATTATACGGGTGTCTTTTATCGTGCATCAGGGAATACAATACAACATCACACGGAATGAAATTCGACTTTTTGATTCTTTTCCGGGAAAAGCGTTGTTTTTATTTAAAAAAAAACACATGTTTTGTATTGCAATGGTGCAGTTTTAGTATAATAATTGTTTTTATACTCGTTTCAAATATTTTTCTACTTCCACCTTTAAATCGTCAGTTTTTCACGATTCTGTGACACAAAAAGTGGTACTTTATACACGGATTGTCAAGGCCGTGAGTAAAATAATTTAGTCACGGGTTTCAGTCACGGAATGGAAAAAAATTTATACAAAAGTTTAAATACAAAAACCTCAACATAAATATAGCAAAAAATAGCTTAAGCATCACGTGGCTAAACGTTGTTAAACACTCGATTGATTAAATACTCGCTACGCTTGCTCTTAATCACACTAGCG